CTATAGAATACTGCTAGTTGAGGGACCCTGTGTGGCCGCATCTGTCTCATGCCTATAAAATGGCCATGGCCGAAAGGAATGCTTGGAAAAAAAAATAAAAAGGGAAGTCTTGGCCACGAGGTGTGGGAGGGCTGATGGAGTAAAATATCATCTTCAGAAGCTGAGAAGCTTACAAGAAGCAGGATATATTTTGGGAAATATAAGCAAGCAGTTTGATGTGAAGTGCAGAGGTGAGGCCAGAAATGTGGGCAGAGGAGCATCTGAGCCCTGAATAACATGGGGGAGTAACGGGAGGCCAGATCCCACATATAACACAGAAACACCTAACCTGGCTCCCTTTTCTCAAAGCCTACTCTGGATGTTTGGTGGAATATGGATGGGGTGGGAGAGCTCCTGGAAGGCTGCCATGGGAGTGTGGCAAGGAGGGTATAAATGGGAGGGATGATTACAGGCAAAGTAAGGTGGAGGTGACTCCCACAGTGCTGTCCGTGGTGAGCAGGTAGAAGGTGGTGCTAATGCTCATGGTGGGGAAGAGATCCCAGAACTGTCAGACCCCGGTGCCACATGAGCTTGGGCAGCCCCTCCTATCTTGCAGGCTACACTCACCACTCACCTTGGGCACAGACTTTCCCAAGGTCTAAGGTTGCAGCTTTCTGATCCACCTGGTTGCTGACCACACAGGTGAGATTGCCGATCTGCTGGTTCAGCGGCGGGCTGACAGCCAGGGTCCACGGATTGGGGGCTGGTCCTGGTGTGTCTCTCTGCTCCAGCTCTCTGAAGAGGCCCTTGCTCTCCCAAGTCACATTCGGGTCCTGGGTGGCCCCTGGAGCCCTGCATTCCAGAGTGATGTTACACAGGCCTGGTGTGATAGACAGTGACTTGGCCAGGATCTCAGGGTGAGGCACAGGATCTGTGGCAGAAGCAGACAAAAGAGGGGACTCTCACATGCGTGGAGAACATCGCACGTCTCGCTTCCTCATTATTTTCTCATTGCAGCCACGGCATGCAAGTGTGTGTATTCTACAGATAAAACACTATTTGCCCAAAGCTAAATACAGAGCAAATGAAACAAGGAGGGAAACCACAGAGTTCAGCTCCATGTTGGTCTCTAGATTCAACAGGTCTTAAAACTGTCCTAAAGAAAGCAAAGAAGAAAGTCCCCCTTCCCAAAGCACAGTATTTTCAGAAAACTGAGGTCTTTTCAGGAAGGGGAAGAAGTCTCGGGAAGACGGGCTTATGCCGGCCCAGTGTTCTTCTCCCGCATCTCCAGCTGAGGCCATGCCTGGGACTGCACAGCCTTTATGGGCCAGGACATTAGGCCAGCTCTGGAAGGACAGGGAAAGGCCCCAGATCAGAAAAGTAGACACGTCTGTGAGAGATGCAGTGATAGGACCTGGGAACAACGATTCTGAGCGTGCTTAGAGAGTACACTGAACCTGTGCTACAGACAGAAGAGTCGAACTCATAGGCCAGCCTGAGAAATCACGTGGGACCTAAAACTGCAAAAGGCACTCTCTCCGTGGCAGGACATTTCCCTGTACAGAGAGGAACTTTAGGGAAAGAACGAGATGGTAAACGAGTTTCCCAAGATGTGTTCTGCTGTAAACTTTCCCCTACATCTATAAAGCCTGTGAGATGTGGATTTGTGGTGGCTTATGTGACAGGCTGGCCTCAGGCTGGGGCTGAGTGAGAGGAGAGCGAACTGGGAGGACTCCATTCACAGGGATTCCCAACTGTGCTAGGCAGAACAGTGGCCTCCAACATGTCTAGGACCCAGTCCTGGGAACCCGGGAATAGGCGAGGCTGCGAGCCAAGGGGAATTAAGGTCACAGATAGAATTAAGGTTGCTAATCAGCTGACCTAAAAGAGGGAGATTATCCCGACACTCCTAGTAGAACGCTAGCATCAGTGTTCTGTTAGATGATACAGGATGATGGCCACAAGCCATGGGATGCCGGCAGCCACTAGCAGGTGAAGAAGGCAAAAAAACAGGCTCTTCCCTGGAGCCCCCGGAAAGAACACAGCCCTGCCACCATCTTCATTTTAGTTCACAGAGACTGTGTCAGACCTCTGGCCTACAGCACAGTGAGACAATAAATTTGTCTTGCTTTCAGCCAGTAGTTTTTGGAAATGTGTTACATTGGAAATAAAATACTGCTGTACAAATCATCCTACATATGATTAATGTTACTGGAAAAATGGCTATTTAGCTGAATTTCCATTTCCTCTCCCAAAACACTGAAAGAGCTTCATTCTCTGGTGTGAATCTCAGCTCTCCTGTCTATTCTGGGGACCTCGTGTGCCTTACTTTTGGTGGAGAAAATCGAGTCTGAAGGCTAGTGTTTGAATGGGGCCTAAGTGACCCTCTAGAGACAAAAAAGGCAGGGAAGCCAGAAGACAGGGAGAAGGGTGTCACTCAGCACTCACACCCTGACACCTCCCGTTAGGCTCCTCCCACTGTTACAGTGGGAATTAAGTTTCTAACACATGAACTTTGAGGGACACATTCAAACCATAGTGTATATTACCTATAAGGTTAATGTAATGATTAGTCAATAGGGTTATTTTGGGGCTTCAATTTAACATACTTTGGGGATTCACTGAAACAATGCATGTAAACCCATGAGGTAGTAAATATTCAGTAAATACATTCCTTTTGTAACCCAACTCGCACCTTGAGTGTCCTGTAATTTGGGATTCAAATAAGGCAGATGTCATGATGCATCCCGTGTTTTATAGAGGTCCGGAGCCTTTCCTACAAATGCATGAATTCCTAAGAGCTTACATTCTCACCATCACGTCTCAGATCTCTGCTCTCTCTCGACTCTCCACCACACAGAACTCTACACTGCTTTCTTATCTGGTACATACACACACACACACACACACACACACACACACACGCATACACACATGCATACACGCAAACACATACACTTATTCTATGCTGCTTCCCATCAGATCAAGATCTGCTTTCCAATATGTCCCCAACACATTACTAGGACCAGGATCCTGAGTATAATAAACTCTAACAAAAGGCTTGGCAGTTGATGTGTGAGTATATATATATATATATATGTCTTAGGACAGGATAAATGAACATGGTGAGACTTTTTCAATGTTTCTGTCATTTCGTCAGTACGGAAGGTCTACTGGCTGACTGCCCAGTGTCACTGGCCTCCAGTCACATGGCTTATTCTCTCTCCACGTTCCTCCCAAAACCTCTTACTTACATGGTTTTCCTAATCAAACAGTTCCCAAACAAGAACTGCCTCCTGGACTGGACAAGAAGAAGGAATGGCATAAAGGCAGAAAGGGATTCAGAGGGAATTTGAATTTGAGAGAACTCTGACTTGCATGGCCAAAGGTAGAAATAGGCACTGCACTGACCACAGTGATGTGGGTTCTTAAGGATGACTCCTTCAGTTACCTCTAAGACAGCTGAAGGAACAAAGATGCTTAAGCATGAAGAAGGAGCCCATATGACACCTCCTCCATGAAGCCTTTCCTTATTCCACCTGTGAGAAGTAGCCTCTCCCTCCTTTTAACTGCTTTGCATCATTTATTCTATGTATAGCTTTTGTGAGATTCAACCTTGTGGTGGAGGATGCTCCTATTGAGTCTTTCCTGACCAATGTGAATGTGATTCCCCATGGTATGGATCACATCTGACTCCCGGACATGTCCCAGGGCCTTGCTCCCAGTAGAGTCTTGGTTGAGTGCATTAATTAATAAGAAGAACCTATTTGACAGGGTGCTGCCCTTAAAGTCATGCTATTCTCTGTCCCAGTGAGGATAAGGCATTGTTCAATTTAAATTAAGCAGGAAGGAGACAGGTCAGGTACAAAAAAGAACTTCGTGACTCAGTAAGTGGGTTACTTTAACAGGCAGTGGTAAACCAAGCAAATCTCACACCTCTGAATGGAGAGAGGAGGTACCCTCTGTGGTGCCTTCCCCTGGTCCAGCACTGATCTGAGAGATGAACAGAATGAGGATGGAGACATCACCAAGCTCCCTGGGGCTGATCAGAGGCTTAGGGTAGTGGCCATGGAGCAGATCAGAGATGAGACGAGGCCCTGAGGCAGTTCGTTTCAAGGTAGAGCCACACCAGAGAGTCCGTCAGCAGCTCCTGGGCTGCATCTCCGTCTGCTCAGCAGAGGGATAGGAGATCGAAGAAAGGTGGCCCAGGCCCTTGGCATCAAGAGGTGCCTGTCTTCTTGATCCTTTCCCCCCTCAGCCCCACGCCCTCTTGAGAGAGCCCAGGTTAGTACCATAGGAGGACCCATGACCAACCCAAGGCAAACTGTAGCAGGGACCATACCTCGTGTCCAAGGTATTCAGAAAAGTCAGATATGGGAGACATCATTCTTAAACTTTTAAGACTCATAAAGCTCAGAGAACAAGCATCTTGGAAGAGCTTTGAGCAGCACACTAGGGTTGCAACAGGCAGGGGTGAGGGCGAGGAACACACAGAGGAAACTTTCATTTCAGGCAGAGGGCTGCAGGTGAGCCAAGCAGTGGCTGACCAAAGGTTTGGGGCCAGCATGGCTGTGGGGCACTGAGGGTCAGAATCAGAAGCAGCTCCAGAGGGCTGAGTCAGATCTTCTCAATAGCTTCACCCATCAGAGCCCAGATAGCCCTCATCAAGGGGCTGTGGAACAATACCACACATCTATTCTTAAAACCAAGTGTGTTATACTTAGAAGACGAGAAGAGCTGAGGCTGTTTGCCTAAGACATCCCCAAACTGTGGCCCCTTAATGTCATTCCTTGAGACACCGGGGTGGAGGAGGTTTTGAGATGACACACATTTCTATTTCCACTGTACAAAAAGTTGACTTTGAATCCACAGGCTGAGGCTGAAAATTAGGGTCAGAATAGCACAGGTGATAAGAAAGGGGGCTTTGGTTCAGTTGGATAATGTGCACTAGACAATCCCCCCAACATGCATGCACACACAAACTGCCTGATATCCCCAAGACACCCCTACACAAATTTGCCTTGGCCTTTTCCTTTATTGGTTTCTATCCATCCACGCTGTCCTCCAACTCAGCATCCAGAAGCCAGGTCCCACCACCCTCCTCTGCAGCACAGTCAGCACCTCTGCACAGTCCCTGTGTCTGGGCTTGTGTCGTCAGAAGTACACACACCAGTGACGGCAGAGGTGGTGGGGACTTGACACCTGCTCAATCAGACAGGCTCCTCTTGGGAAGGCTTATGAAGAACAGGGGTCAGGAGCCATCTCAATGATGGAGAATAGTCCTTGCCCGAGTGTAAGGGCAGCTTGGGAAGTGTCACAGAGTACAACCAGGCCATGTGTACCCTCTAGAAATGTAGCTATGAGGTCAGAGTAACACACACAAGGGGAAGCTGGAACTGAACCAGAGCTGGGAAAGGCAGGGGTCTGCAGGACTTAGGCTCAGAATGCAGGTGTCCTGGGAGTGCCAGATCCTCCTGCTTCCTCCAATCAAATGATCTCCATGGTCTGGTCTGGATAACAGACCTCACTGTAGATAGTAGTGAGAGATTCCTTTTTTCCAAGATATTGTTCACCGATGCTCTGAAATACAACACAGAGGGTTGTTGGATCAGCTGAGGGATAGAATGAATCTGCAGGGACCCCCAGAGCCAGTACCCACTGCCATGCACTGCTTATGAATTCCTCTAAAGTGCCCAGCACTACATCCCACCCAGATGTGCATTTTCTTAGTCAATACTGTTGATTGTCCAGATATAGATAAATAGGCAGTTGGACCAGAAATGGCAGGCCCTGGAATTGGAAGCCCAATGCTGGGCAGAGAGACCTGGGAGTTCCCAGGGTGGCCAGTGCCCCGGCACTCACCTTGTCCTTGCCCTTCTGAGACACTTGCTGGCTGAGCGTCTCAAAGGGGATGCCACCATCATCAACCCCATGGTTCTTCTGCAATCCTCCACCTGAGACAAAATCAAAGCTTGAATCTATGTCTTAGAAACCTGTAGCCCTCCCCATTGCCATGAACCCCAAGGCCAAGACTATGCCCATCACCCCTCAGCAGAGTCCACTCCCTGGGAGCAAAATTCAGAAAAAGGAAGCTGAGGTTCTAGGGAGGGAGGGGAGGTGTCGGGGCACATCAGGAGATAAGGAACTTGCCATTTTTTATTTCCATCGTTGTCTTCTTCTTCTTCTGACATGTCTTCAAAAGCAACAACCCAGTTCCCAGGACCAACAGGACACCCACAGCAGCTGCTAGGATGCCTGGCAGCAGTATAACCATGTACTGTTTCTGTGTACCTGTTCCTGTCACATGGGGAGAATGGAAAATGTTAAGACAGGAGATAATATGAAACGCCAATTGCCAAAGGAGAGACAGCGGGAGAAAGCAGGGGGAGCAGCAGAAAGGGGCCTGGTGCTGAAGCTGCAGAGGGAGGAGCATGGCAGGTCCATTCATTCAACCAGTTAGGAGCTGCTGCTTGGTGCCAGGGATGCTGAGATGCACAAGACGATGTCCTCAGCAGCCCAGGACATAGGAGGGAAAATGGAAAATACCAACTGCCAGACAGAGGGATCAGAGCTACAACAGAGGTTTCCACCTTGTACAAGGTCTTCAGGGAGGGCCTCCCAGAGGAGGTGATGGCTAAACTGAGGCTTGAGGCTAGAGCAGGAATTTCTCAGATATTCAGGGTAGGGCATTCCTGGAAGGAAGAGCTCCAAGGTCCCGAAATGGCTGTGTCAAGACACCAGCTCTGGGAGTTGCCGGCACCCCACTGCAGCATGAGATAGACAGTGCAGGAAGGAGCTGTGGAAAGGAGAGTCAGCGGGAGTCAGGAGTCTGTCCCCAGAGGGCCTGTAGTCAAGATAATGCTTAACACTTTCGGATGGGGGTCAGAGTGGTTTGAAGTGATGCTGACGCATCAGATGCACCCAGCAGCTCTTGGAGGAAGATTTGGAGAGAACCAGGCTGCACAGAGCATATCGGGTCATTCATTCATTTAGTGGACACTGATCGTGGGCATATGCTGCCAGGAGCTGTGCTTGGCACAGGGATTCAGAGGAAAACATCAAGGTGTTGCAGTCTACAGGGCAGACAGTGACATAAACACATCATTACTGCTCAGTGTTGGGGGCCATGGACAGCTCCCTCAGGAGGTGGACCTGACTGCAGAAACAGATACATCATTTTCAGGGCACTGTGTAATGCAAATTTAAATTCCCTCAATTAAAAACTAAAAAATTCCAGCCAGCAATGGCAGTATTTTAACCAATTGTAGAATGCTGCTACATGACAGACCCTGTGTGGCTGCATCTGTCTTGTGCCCGTGAAATGGCCATGGACGAAAGGAATGCTTAGAAAAAAAATAAAAAGGGAAGAGCTGGACACTAGGAGTGGGAGGACTTATGGAGTAAGAAATATCATGTTCCGAAGCTGAGAAGCTTGCAAGGAACGGGACATATGTTGGAAAATATAAGCAAGCAGTTTGGTGTGAAGTGCAGAGGTGAGGCCAGACACCTGGGCAGAGGAGCATCTGAGCTCTGAATTCCATGGGGAAGTAACTGGAGGCCAGATCCCACAGATGACACACAAAACCACCCAACCCGATCTGCTTTTCCCAAAGCCACTCTGGATGTTCAGTGGAGGATGGATGGGGTGGGAGAGCTCCTGGAAGGCTGCTGTCTGCATCGGCAGGAACATGGTGGGGGTGTGGCAAGGAGGGTATAAATGGAAGAGATGATTCCAGCAAAGTAAGGTGGAGGTGACTCCCACAGTGCTGTCCGTGGTGAGCAGGTAGAAGGTGGTGCTAATGCTCATGGTGGGGAAGGGATCCCAGAACTGTCAGATCCCGGTGCCACCTGAGCTCGGGCAACCCCTCCTATCTTGCAGGCTACACTCACCACTCACCTTGGGCACAGACTTTCCCAAGGTCTAAGGTTGCAGCTTTCTGATCCACCTGGTTGCTGACCACACAGGTGAGATTGCCGATCCGCTGGTTCAGGGGCAGGCTCACAGCCAGGGTCCAAAGCTTGGCGGTTGGTCCTGATGTGTCTCTCTGCTCCAGCTCTCTGAAGAGGCCCTTGCTCTCCCAAGTCACATTCAGGTCCTGGGTGGCCCCTGGAGCCCTGCATTCCAGAGTGATGTTACACAGGCCTGGTATGATAGACAGTGACTTGGCCAGGATCTCAGGGTGAGGCACAGGATCTGTGGCAGAAGGAGACAAAAGAGGGGACTCTCACATGCGTGGAGAACATCGCACGTCTCGCTTCCTCATTATTTTCTCATTGCAGCCACGGCATGCAAGTGTGTGTATTCTACAGATAAAACACTGTTTGCCCAAAGCTAAATACAGAGCAAATGAAACAAGGAGGGAAACCACAAAGTTCAGCTCCATGTTGGTCTCTAGATTCAACGGGTTTTTAAACTGTCCTAAAGAAAACAAAGAAGAAAGTCCCCCTTCCCAAAGCACAGTATTTTCAGAAAACTGAGGTCTTTTCAGGAAGGGGAAGAAGTCTCGGGAAGACGGGCTTGTGCCGGCCCAGTGTTCTTCTCCCACATCTCCAGCTGAGGCCATGCCTGGGACTGCACAGCCTTTATGGGCCAGGACATTAGGCCAGCTCTGGAAGGACAGAGAAAGGCCCCTGATCGGAAAAGTAGACACGTCTGTGAGAGATGCAGTGATAGGGCCTGGGAACAACGACTCTGAACGTGCTTAGAGAGTACACTGAACCTGTGCTACAGACAGAAGAGTCGAACTCATAGGCCAGCCTGAGAAATCACGTGGGACCTAAAGCTGCAAAAGGCACTCTCTCCATGGCAGGATATTTGCCTGTGCAGGGAGGAACTTTTTTTTAATTGCATTTTAGGTTTTGGGGTACATGTGAAGAACATGCAAGATTGTCGCATAGGTACACACATGGCAGTGTGATTTGCTGCCTTCCACCCTGTCACCTATATCCAGCATTTCTCCCCATGCTATCTCTCCCCAACTCCCCACCACCCGCTGTTGCTCCCCTATTTCCCCCCGACAGACCCCAGTGTGTGATGCTCCCCTCCCTGTGTCCACATGTTCTCATTGTTCAACACCCACCTATGAGTGAGAACATGCAGTGTTTGGTTTTCTGTTCTTGTGTCAGTTTGCTGAAAATGATGGTTTCCAGGTTCATCCATGTCCCTACAAAGGACACGAACTCATCGTTTTTTATGGCTGCATAGTATTCTGTGGTTTATATGTGCCACATTTTCCCTCTCCAGTCTATCATCGATGGGCATTTGGGTTGGTTCCAAGTCTTTGCTATTGTAAACAGTGCTGCAATGAACATTCGTGTGCATGTGTCCTTATAGTAGAATGATGTATAATTCTTTGGATGTATACCCAGTAATGGGATTGCTGGGTCAAATGGAATTTCTATTTCTAGATCCTTGAGGAATCGCCACACTGTCTTCCACAATGGTTGAACTAAATTACACTCGCACCAACAGTGTAAAAGTGTTCCTATTTCTCCACATCCTCTCCAACATCTGTTGTCTACAGATTTGTTAATGATCACCATTCTAACTGGCGTGAGATGGTATCTCAATGTAGTTTTGATTTGCATTTCTCTAATGACGAGTGATGATGAGTATTTTTTCATATGTTTCTTGACCTCATGTATATCTTCTTTTGTAAAGTGTCTGTTCATACCCTTCACCCACTTTGAATGGGCTCATCTGTTTTTTTCTTGTAAATCTATTTTAGTTCTTTGTAGATTCTGGATATTAGCCCCTTGTCAGAGAGGAACTTTAGGGAAAGAACGAGCTGGTAAATGACTTTCCTAAGATGTGCCAAGGTGTAAACTTTCCCCTACACCTATAAAGCCTGTGAGATGTGGATTTGTGGTGGCCTATGTGACAGGCTGGCCTCAGGCTGGGGCTGAGTGAGAGGAGAGCGAACTGGGAGGACTCCATTCACAGGGATTCCCAACTGTGCTAGGCAGAACAGTGGCCTCCAACATGTCTAGGACCCAGTCCTGGGAACCCGGGAATAGGCGAGGCTGCGAGCCAAGGGGAATTAAGGTCACAGATAGAATTAAGGTTGCTAATCAGCTGACCTAAAAGAGGGAGATTATCCCGACACTCCTAGTAGAACACTAGCATCAGTGTTCTGTTAGATGATACAGGATGATGGCCACAAGCCGTGGGATGCCGGCAGCCACTAGCGGGTGAAGAAGGCGAAAGAACGGGCTCTTCCCTGGAGCCCCCGGAAAGAACACAGCCCTGCCACCATCTTCATTTTAGCTCACAGAGACTGTGTCAGACCTCTGGCCTACAGCACAGTGAGACAATAAATTTGTCTTGCTTTCAGCCAATAATTTTTGGAAATTTGTTATATCAGAAATAAAATACTGCTGTACAAATCATCCTACATATGATTAACGTTACTGGAAAAATGGCTATTTAGCTGAATTTCCATTTCCTCTCCCAAAACACTGAAAGAACTTCATTCTCTGGTGTGAATCTCAGCTCTCCTGTCTATTCTGGGGACCTCGTGTGTCTTATTTTTGGTGGAGAAAATCGAGTCTGAAGGCTAGTGTTTGAATGGGGCCTAAGTGACCCTCTAGAGACAAAAAAGGCAGGGAAGCCAGAAGACAGGGAGAAGAGTGTCACTCACCATAGACAGTCAGGTAGAAAACCTGGCCAAGCATTTTTCCCTGAGTTAAGCGGATCATGGCCACGTACTGCCCACTGTCTTCAGGGGCCAGGTTCTCAATCCTCAGAGACCACATGCTGGGCACATGGACCCTCTGCTTGAACTTGTCCTGGAGGCTCAACCAGATGGGAGAGTCGGCTCCCCTACGGACTTGCAGCACCTGTGTGTGATTTAACGGAGTGCCCAAACCCCATGCAACCTCCTGCACTTCGGCTCCTGCATCTGCCCTGTGCTTCTCGGTCACATTAAACAAGACAAAACCTCCTCGGATGCACTTCAGATGAATGTGGTTCCCAGAATCCTTCACTGCAGAGCCATGTGCTCCAGAAGTGTTGGCTGCAGAGCTGCAGACACCTAGGGCATGGAGACAAAAACCAGCAGTATCTTCTCATCAAGAACAAATGAGAAAAACACAGACCTTTGGTTCAGAGTCATAGAAATGCATCCCAAATCCTTTCTTGATTCTGGGAGGGCTTCGAAGTGTAATAAATTTGAAGCAATTCTGGCTCAAGTTCTGGTTCTGGTGGAGTGTGATCTTGAACAGGTTCCCGAATCCCCCTGATCTTCAGTTTTCTTACCTGCTCCATAGTGACAGTAAGGATCAAATGAGATTCTAGATCAAAAGCACGTAGCACATTTTCTGACATATGCTAAGTGCATAACTGCACGTGGCTCCCAAGGATGCCTCCCCACTGTGTGCACAGCCCTGTGTGATGCCCTCCCTGGAGTATGGGCTGCACTGATGACTTGCAAATGCAGCAAAAGTGATGGAGTGTCCCTTCTGTCTGGCTCACACCCTTTGTCTCCATCATTCTCTCCTGATGAAGCCAGCTACCACGTTGTGAGCTGCTCTGTGGAGAGGCTCACATGGCAGGGAGCTGGGGGCAGCCTCAGCCAACACCTCCATTCCAGTCTCTGCGAACCTGAGTGACAGGACCCCGCTGAACCACACCTGGATGCTCATCTCCGTAAACTGTGAGACCAGATCCCGTGTTGCGTTAGCACACTAAGTTCTAGAGTAACAGCTCGCACAACAATACATAACTAAAGCAAAGAGGAAGATTGTCTTTCTTTGCCTTGCCTTCTCAGAAGGGAACGAATTAGGATAGAATAGGACAGGATAGGACGGGAAGTGAATTAGACAGGTCATCCTGTGGCAACAACCAACCAAACTGAGGGACTTAGAATAAAGGGAGTTTGGAACCCACCGCCTCCTCACAGCCTCCTCAGCCCGCATGGTAGTGAAGGGAGGAGTCAAGAGAAGCACCCGTGGGGCTTTCACTGCACAGCCTGGAAGTGATGTAATCTCTGCCCATATTTTCTAGACAGAACTAGTCAGGAGACCCTGCTCACCAGGAGGGACTGAAAGTGTGGGGGACTTTGACACTTGCCACAGACCAGATGGACTGTGTGTTGGCCCTGTGTTTCTGCCACCGGGAGAGCACTTCCCTCCGCAGTGCCCCGGGGCCCTGGTCAGTCTCCCTCAGTCACTGTCTCCCACAGAACCCTCACCAGTGGGCACAGCCACCTCAGCTCCGCCTCCTCCTGAGCCCTTCCTTGTTCAACAGGCACAGCCCCAGTGAACTCAGAGATCTCTCTCTTTCTGGGGACCGGAGTGGGACCAGTGTGGACTGGGGGAAACTGCCACAGGAGACCCTTGTCCTTTGAAGAAAGAACTGTCTCCTCTCTTCGGCTCAGGTCCATCTGGGTTTGCCGCTGGGTGGCAGGACACCCAGGGCTCTCCCTAGTGAATCAAGTTCTCCTGATTTCCAGCCTGCACCCTCCTGCTGCCCTTATCCCTAACGCTGGCTCTCAGCGGGACACTACCCTGCTTCTTCAGCACCTGTTTTTAACAGGATATCAGGTGTCCCCTTCTAAGGCCCAAATTTCTTCCACGTCTGTCACCTATCTGGGCATCCTCCTCACCCGCGCTCTCCCTAGCGATGGGGTCCAGCTAAGCTCTGACAACCCAACCCCCTCTACCAGACAACAGCTTCTCTCCTTCCTGGGTGTAGTCGGCTACTTTCGCCTCTGGATACCAAGTTTTGCTATTCTAACTAAGCCGTTATATGAACTCACTAGAGGAAACAAATCCTTTCCTCACTCCTCCTTTTGCTCCTTAAAGGCAGCTCTAAAAACTGCTCCCATCCTAGCTCTCCCCAGCTTGTCTCTACCCTTTTCTTTACATACTGCTAAAATCCAGGGCTGTGTGGTTGGATTTCTTACACAAGAGCCAGGTCCGTGTCCTGTTGCTTTTCTCTCCAGAGAACTGGACCTCACTGTCCTAGGCTGGCCCCAGTGTTTGCGGGCCACCGCGGCGGCCGCTCTAGTTCTTCTGGAAGCTTTCAAAATCACAGGCTATGCTTCACCTACTTTATCCACTTCTCACCATCTCCAGGCTTTAATATCCTCTTCTCGTCTTCCACATCTGTTATCTGCTCCACGTCTGATTCAACTCTATTTGCTCTTTATTGAAACTCCCACTGTGACTTTGCACATGGCCCCAGTTTTAATCCAGCCTCTCTCCTAATACCAAACGTGAACACTACTCCTGGCCCGCATAGCTGCATCTCCCTAATAGATACTGCTGTTTCCCCTTCTCCCCACATCTCTCTTTCCCCTCTTCCAGACTCTGATCACACATGGTTTATTGATGGCAGCTCTTCCAAACCTATCCAGTCCTCTTCAGGAAAGGCTGGCTATGCTGTTGTTTCCCATACTTCTATCATTAAAGCTGCCACTCCCCCTTCATCTACTGCTTCTCAACCGGCTGAATTAATAGCACTCCCATGCGCTCTTACCCTGGCCAAAGGGCTCAGAATAAATATCTATACTGATTCCAAATACGCTTTCCACATCCTCCATCACCACACTGTCATTTGGGCAGAAAGAGGTTTTTTCACTACACAAGGATCTTCCATTATCAATGCTGCTTTAATAATGGCCCTCCTTAAAGCTGCCCTTCTCCCAGCTAAGGCTGGGGTCGTCCATCCTAAAGGGCACCGAAATACTTTAGATACCATTGCTCAAGGAAACACATTAGCAGATGAGACAGCCAGGAAAGCAGCCAACGCACTGCTATCCCCACCTAGTGGACAGTATTTTTCTTTTTCATCAACCAATCTTTATTCAACCTCAGAGTCATTGAAGTATCAGTCACTTCCCACTCAAGGTAATTGGTTTTTAGATCATGGAAAATCCCTTCTTCCTGCCTCACAAGCTCGTTCTATCCTCTCTTCCTTTCATTACCACTTTCACGTAGGATATAAGCCTTCAGCCCGTCTCTGAGAGCCTCTCATGTCTTTCCCCTCATGGAAGTCCATCCTTAAAACAATCAGTCTCAGTGCTCTATCTGTCACTCTGCCAACCCCCAAGGATTTTTAAGACCTTCTTTTCCTACCAATCAAATTCGAGGATTTACTCCCATGCAAGACTGGCAAATTGACTTTACTCATATGCCCTGTGTCAAAAAATTTAAATACCTTCTTGTATGGGTGGGAATCTTCACAGGGTGGATTGAAGCCATCCCTACTGGAACAGAAAAGGCTACTGCTGTTACTTCCTGTCTATTAAATGGTATCATCCCCCGGTTTGGCCTGCCTACTTCCATACAACCAGATAATGACCCTGCTTTCATTAGCCAAATCACCCAAGCAGTCTTGCAGGCAGGCCCTCAGCATTCAACGGAATCTCCATGCCCCTTGCCACCCTGTCATCAGGGAAGGTAGAAAAAGCTAATGGTCTTCTAAAAACATGTCTTACTAAACCCACGCTTCAACTAGAAAAGGACTGGGGATCTCTTCTGCCTATCGCTCTTCTCTGAATTCATGCCACTCCCCTGGAACCCACCGAGTATAGCCCCTTTGAACTTTTGCATGGCTGTGCCTTTCTACTCGGGCCCAACCTTCTTCCACACCCCAGCCCTCTTGGAGACTATCTTTCAGTTCTCCAACAAATTAGGCAGGAAGTTCGCCAAGCTGCTAATCTCCTCTTAGCCACTCCAGACACCCAGTTGTACAAGGACATCTTAGCTGGACAATCAATTAGTACTGATCAAGGACTTAACCCATCCAGCTCTACAGCCTCAGTGGAGAGGTCCTTACCTGGTTGTCTACAGTACCCCAACTGCTATCCGCCTGCAAGACCCTCCCCACTGAGTTCACCACTCCAGGATTAAACTGTGCCCACCAGACGATCAGCCTAGCCCATCCACCTCCTCTTAGAAGTCGCAAGTACTCTCCCCTACTTCCCTTAAGCTCACTGTAATCCCTGAAGGCCAATCCTAGACCCTAAATGCCCCACACGTGTTTGCACTGTGGGTTCTCCCTCTTCCTGCAAGCCCTCCTAGCTTGCACTCTGTCTGATTTCTCTGCCAGCATTACAGATGTAGATAATACGTTGTCTGCCCCTCAGGCTCAGATTGACTCTCTGGCTCAGTGGTCCTTCAAAACCGTCATGGCATCGACTTACTGCAGAAAAAAGAGGATCCTGTATATTTCTAAATGAATATTTTTTTTTACTTAAACCAATCTGGCCTAGTGTATAATAATATCAAAAAACTCAGACAGGGCCCAGAAGTTTGCTAACCAGGCAAGTACCTATGCCGAACCTGCTTTGCCATTTTCTAACTGGATGTCATGGCTCCTCCAATCCTTACTCCTTTAAAACCCATCTTTCTTCTTCTCCTATTCGGACTCTGTATTTTCCGCTTAGTCTCCCAGTTCATACAACACTGCACCCAGGCTATCACAAATCCACAAATGTGGACAACCCCACAATATTGCATTGCCTTAAAGTCCCCCAGCAGCTTAAACATGTGTAAGGCAAAACATTGTCCAGACCTTCCTTATTTGCCTGCCTGTCCTATTTCCACTTCTACCCTGTCTCCTCTGCTCAAAAAAATTTTTAAGTGTCCATGCAGTCCCCTGTCACATACAAAGTAGCCTTGAGAGACTTCGCCCCCACCCTCCGAAAGCTGTCATCGCCCCCTCTTCTCTAATTTTTTCTCTATATATATAAAAAAGACAGGAATGTGAGGTCTGCATGTGCAAGCCTGAACCCAGAAAGTCTGAAGTCCTGCCTGCCTGGGCTGATTGTCCCCTATCTCCCTAGAGGAGGAGGCTAGAGGAGGAGGCGACTAGGGGAAGCCGAGTGACCCAGCCTCCCTCCCCCACCCTCGCCCCATTCATCTCGGCGACCATCTAGCGCCGGGAGCGGGATCCTGGGACGCCGAAGCCTGGACGGGATTCTCGGCGCCGGGGTGGGCTGCGAAGAAAATGGTGCAATCTGAGAGCAGCTGAGCAGATTCTCCCCACTGCAGGACGCTGCCCATGTGCTCTTCCAGCCTCACCTGCTCTTCCATCCCCACCTGCTTTCCCCGGAGCTCACCAGCACTATTGTGTAAGCCCACCAGGACCTGAGCAGCTGCCAGGATCTCCACCTCAACTATCTTCTCCTGAGCAGATACTTTCAGTGGCTGAGCAAAGCAGGGACTTGTGGCTAGCGGAGGGTTAAACAGGCAGCCCAAACAGACCTCATTTCCTGGATCAGAGGAGGCTCAGCCCTCAGGCCTCCAGGGAGGATCTGCCCCAGAAGGTGAATGGTGAGCACAGAAGGAAGAAGAAGGAAGACTGAGAGCAAGAAGAAAGACAGCAGGAGCTCTCTGACCTATAGAGATGCTAATCCTGAAGAAAGAAAAGCAAGTCAGGTAGTGGCTGTTCATTTACAAGATGGAGCTAAACATTCATTTAAATTGTATAAAATTTCAAGCTCTGTAAACAACATAAAATATTGCACATTTGTTTTATAGCCCCGTCCCCACACTCACAAACCAGCAACCCATATGTCTGCCCGAACTGCACTTCTTGGTGCCATCTCCATTGTCTCGTGTCTCTGGATCTCCACTGTCTCGTGTCTCTGGAGTCCCGAATGCAGAGACCCTTTCTCCTCCAGATCCATGCTTGCAACATGGGTTCAGCACTTAGTAAATCCTGTTATTGTAATGTTTGGGGGGACCCCAAAAGTCGAAGACCACCCTCATCTGCAGCTGCCTGTGTCCCTGGGGAAATTAGATGTGAACTGAGCCCCCCTCAGGCTCCCTATTTCCCTTCCACATTTTCCCATTGAAACACATGTTTAGGAAGGGGCAAGAGTTTAAGAATGATGAAGACAAATTCCTCATCCCCATTTTCATTATCACCGCTGCACCACGCATTCCTTTCCCTGAATCAAGGATCAACTGGAAGACAGAGAATCCAGAGACCAGAGAAAAAAAAAATCCCTTCACTCTGTGTGGAGCTTCCACGTTCCTAAATACAGCCTAGATTAAAGCCTGGCAGACAGCCTAGATTAGGATCATCCTTTTTTCAGCTTCTTTTTTTGCTTAACATTCTGTATTCTGTACTTTTTCCTCTTTCGTATTTTTCTCCACAATTTTATGCCCTCCTGTAGCCCATGTTGACAATCTACTGATTCTTCCACATTTTTGGCATAGTCTTAGAAACAGGTGGGTGTAAAAACACTTAAATTTTGGTGGCTGCGTTTCCTTTTATAAAATAAAGATTCTATTGGGTTTAGTTTCCTGAATCTTGCTAATGGGAATCTAGGCACCTTACTTCATGGAAGTTGAACATTCCTTCCAGATAACTAGAACATTTGTTTTTGAAAGTTTCCATAACGTGCCATGGTACAGATACTCTTCAGCTTGTCCAATTGTTCCTGAACTAATGGACACCTCGTGTTTGTTTCCGAGATTTTTCCTAGAACGGTACCGTGATAAAAATTTCATCTGAGGGTCGGAGCAGCATTTCCGAGTGGAGGAAAAGGAAACTCACAGGGATGTGAAGGGCGCCTGGTATAGACACATGTTACCCAAAGAAAAATTCTTTTTAACTTTTAAAGTGAACATGAATGCAAATTACAAACAATATTTTAAGATTGAGACTCCTAAGGGCTTTCTCCTTTGTGATGATTTGCGTGGAGATCCACCCTAGGCCCAGGGTGCAATGTCACAATCTTGGCTCACCACAACCTCCGCCTCCCAGGTTCAAGCAATTCTCCTGCCTCAGCCTCCCTAGTAGCTAGGATTACAGGTACCTGTGACCATGCCCAGCTAATTTTGTATTTTTATTAGAGATGGGGCTTTCTCCATGTTGGTCGGGTTGGTCTTGAACTCCAGACCTCAGGTGATCTGCCCGCCTCAGCCTCCCAAAGTGCTGGGATTACAGTCATGAGCCACCTCTTCTGGCTGGGATGAATGGTCTTAAGGGAAGGGGTGTGATGGTTCTTTCAGTGCAGCCAAGACAGCCCTGGCTCAGGTTTCCCAGCCTCCTCACCACCAAAAGGACTTTCCATTCCTTCCAGCTCATGACTCCAACCAAATCCGCTGCATTTGTAATCACAGCAGAGTGTTTTTCTCTTTTTGTTGCCCAAAGACATTTGAACCTAAACAGGTCACTTAGTGGTCATGGCACAGCTAGCCCAGATGACCCCATTGGCCTCCATTCCCATAGACCCCATCACTCACTGAGGAGCAGGCTGATGAATACCAGGAGCCCGTGGGTCCAGCAGAACGACCGGTCCTTGGAGCACGATCTCATGGCAGGCTGCCTGGGGCCTGTTCAGCTGCAGAGGAAACCACAGAGGGGGAAGAGGTAAGAAAAGAGAACAAGCTTGAGCAAGTAGCCCTTCACACTCTTTTTCACTTCAGGGGCAGGGTCAGCAAGTTACTACCGGGGAGACAGGCCACCATTCTAGAGAAAGCCATTCAGCTCTTTTATCCCCTCCCAGCCCCTACAGTACCGTGCACACTCAATAAGTAATTGCAAAAGAAATAAAGGTACAACCTCACTCTGCGATGTTCCTAACAATGTATTAGAAAGTCCCCTCCCTGTGGGCACAGCCAGCTTGGTGTTCTCACACGCACCCTTCCCTGACACTTACCTGCTTCCCTGGGTATACAGCTCAGCCCCAGGTGTCCTTGGTCATCAGCGTCAGCCTATGGTCTGGTGCATAAATCACCCTCTTACAGCAAGTCTGGGCTACGCCCTTTCTAGTACAGTGGCTTTCTTCTGTCATTACTCAATATAATAAGTATTTAAAGCAGCCCTCTTCGTTCTTGGGCTCTTCTAAGGTTACCTACCTCTGACCTGAATTCCAGCGCACTCACAACTGTACTTTTTTTCTGTGAAAGGCTGCCAAATGCTTGTTTCTTTGGAAGGAGATGAGTGGGATATCCCCAACTCCATATTCTTGCTCTCAAATTTCATTTTAAAGAGAAATACTAAATCACACAATCAAAAAGTTCAATGAACTCCAAGTACAATTATCTGAAAAACATCCAAATGTAGGCTAATCAAAATCGGATGACCAAAGCCAGAGTCAAACAGAGAATCTTCAAAGCTTAAATAGAAAGGTGATACTGCATGTTCAAGTGATCCCCAGTGAGATCAACAGTGGATTCTATGAATGCCAGCAGGCTCTGCAATGACATGTGCAAAGTATTCAGAAAAAAAATCTTGCAACTACGAATTTGTTGCCCTGCAAAACTGTTCTTCACACATAGCAGACCTGCAGTGTTACAAATACAAAGGGAGTCATTTAGTCTGAAGCGAAAGGCACTAGAGAGTCAGCGAAATCGATATGAACAAATAAAGAGCACAAGGAAGGCTAATTAACCAGATAAATATAAGCAATAATATTAATGTTTTTATTTATTTATAGTAAATTTTTCCCCTTAGATTACCTAAAACAAGCTTACCTGACACAAAAATTGTGTTAATGATACACATGGTAAAAGATGTAATTTATATGACATTAACAGTACAAGGAGAAACACAACTGTGTAGAATCAATGTTTTGTATTAATTGAAATTAAATGGATATTAAACCAATAAGGAATGTATAAATAAAGGTATTAATTATCTTCCCCCAAAATAAATCATATTATGAAGGGGTACTAAAAACAATGGCATGATAAAAATTAGATAACTAGTTAGTAGAAAAATTTCTAAGCTGGGTACAATGGCTCACACCTGTAATTCCAGCACTTTGGGAGGCCGAGGAAGGTGGATAACCTGAGATCAGGTGTTTGAGAGCAGCCTGGCCAATAAGGCAAAATCCTGTCTCTACTAAAGATACAAAAATTAGCCAGGGATGCTGGCACACACCTGTAATCCTAGCTACTCAGGAAGCTGAGGCAGGAGAATCACTTGAACCTGGGAGGCAGACTGCAGTGAGCCGGGATTGAGCCACTGCACTCCAGCCTGGGTCACAGAGCAAGACTGTATCTCAAAAAAAAAAAAAAAAAAAAAAAAGATTAAATAAATAAATAGAAAAATTTCTAGAAAGACACAAACTATAAAAACTGACTCAAGAAGAAATAAAAAAATTTAGATAAACATGTAACAATTAAGAGAATGAATTAGTAATCAAAACACTCCAAAGAAGTAAAAACAGAATGGCTTCTCTGTGGTACTAAACCAAATGTCTAATTAAAAACTCAGACAGATCCTTCACAAATTCTTCTAGAAAATAAAATAAAAGTTGATATTGGCAACTCATTCTATAAGGCTAAAATTACACTGACGCCAAAATCAGACAAAGATATCAAAAGTAAACTACAGGTCAATATCCCTTATGACTATACACGCAAAAATCCTCAACAAAATACTGCCAAACTACATCCACCATCACATAAAAAAATTGTACAACACAACCAAGTGGGATTTATCCCAAGAACACAGGATGGTTCAATATAGAAAAATCACTTAATATAATAAAAGGTATTAACAGATATAAAGGGGGGTTGAAATAGATAATCACTTCAGTAGAGCAAAGTAGTATTTGACAAAATCCAACACTTTTTCATGAAGAAAAACCACTGAATATGCAGGAACTGAGGAGAATTTCCTCGACTTGATAAAGGACATTTATAAAAAATAGGCAACTAACATATGTAATCGTGAATAGTAGAAAGCTTTCCCCCTAAATTTAGTAACAAGACAAGGGTGTCTGCTTGCAGCATTTGCATTTCACATTGTACTGTGGTTTCTAGCCAGAACAATTAAGAAAAAAAAAAAAAAAAAAAAAAGTTGCCCAGATTTAAAAGGAAAATTAAGACTATTTCTATTTAAAATGACATTATCTCACACACAGAAAATTCAAAGGAATTCACAAGAAACTATTAGAGCTAACAAACACGTTCAGCATGGTTGCAAAATGAAAGATCAATATGCAAAAAATACTTACAGTTTTATATGCTACCAATGAGCAATCAAAAAATAAGAAACAATTTTATTACGATAGGATTAAAAAGAAAAAGTGCTTAAGAATAAAGTAATAAGAGAAGTGCAAGACAAGTACACCAAAAAATGCAAAACATTGTTGAAATAAGTGAAAGAGGACTGAAATAAATGGAAAAATATACCATACTTAAGAATGAGAAGATTTCATATTGCTAAGATGGCAATATTTTCCAAATTATTCTACCAACTCCATGCAATTCCTACCAAAGTCTAGCTGGATTTTTTGCAGGAATTGACAAACTAGTCCTGAAATTACTATGGAAATGCCACAGGACAGCAACAAAACATAAAATAAATCTACGGGCTCACACTCCTTCCAGTACTGTCTTGTAGCAAATATTTTTCAAAATAATTATATTTTCTGGTTCCAACCCCCTCCTCTCTTCTATCTCTTTTATAAATTGAAATCTAATTCACATACCATAAAATTCATGATGATAAAGGGTACAATTCAGTCCTTTTCAGTATATTTGCAAGGTTGTGCAATCATTGCCGCTTTTTAATTTCAGAACATTTTCGTCTCCCCAAAAAGAATCCCGTACCCATTAGTGGTCACTTCCATTTTCTTCTCCTAAACCACCTGGCAACCATTAATCTGCTCTTTGTGTCTATGGATTTGCCTTTTGTAGACACTTCACAAAAACAGAATCATACAATATGTGACCTTTTGTGTCTGGCTTCTCTCACTTATCCTAATATTCTTGAGATTTATTCATGTTGTAGCATGTATCAGTATGTCATTCTTTTTGTGGCTTAATAATATTCCATTGTATAAATGTACCACAACTTGTTTGCTAAGTTTTATTTTATTTTTATTATAGAGATGAGGTCTCACTAGGTTACCCAGTCTGGTGTCAAACTCCTGGGCTCCACTGAAATTCTCACATTGGCCTTCCAAAATGATGGGATTACAGGCATGAGCCACCGCATCCAGCCAACAACTTGTTTATTAATTGATTAGTTGGTGGAATTTGTGTTGTATCTGATTTTAGGCTATTATAGATGACTCTGCTATGAACATTCATGTACACGTATATTTTGCATAGATATATGTTTGATTCGTTTTCATCTCTCTTATATATACCTGGGAATAGAACTGCTGGGTCATATAGTCATCATCACTCTCTTGCATGATTGGAGTAACCTCACAGTCTTGCTTCTGATTTTAGCACCTTAAGTTTGTTCTTAAAATAGCAATCAGAGTAATTCTTTGAAATATATAGATTATATTGTATTACTTACTCCTTAGCCCGTGGCTATAACCTCCATGTAGATTATATCCTATTACTTACTCCTTAGCCCATAGCTGTAACCTACATGACTCCTACCGCGGGTCCCTTTACCTGCAAGGCCCTGCATTATCTAACCAGATCCCCCACATTCTCCTCTGCCCTTATTCTACTCTGCTATTCTTTCAACAGACAAGGTAGGTTCCTGCCTCAAGGCCATTGCTTTTACCTGGAATTCTCTTCCTCCAGGTATCTGCTTGTCTTATTTCCTGACTTTCAGGGTTTTGCGCAAATGTTATCTTCATAGAGTCTACCCTGACCACTCTATTTAAAACTGCAACCTCCTCCTGGTGCCCTTTCCCTCCTGCTTGATCTACGTTCATTCACAGCACTTACTATAGGAATGTAAAGCAGGGTGCATCTAGTCTGGGTTGCAGGGACATGGATGAAGCTGGAAACCATCATTCTCAGCAAACTAACACAAGAACAGAAAACCAAACACCGCATGTTCTCGCTTGTAAGTGGGAGTTGAACAATGAGAACATGTGGACATAGGGAGGGGAACATCACACACTAGGGCCTGTTAGCAGGTGGAGGGATAGGGAAGGAATAGCATTAGGAGAAATACCTAATGTAAATGATGAGTTGATGGATGCAACCAGCCACCATGGCACGTGTATACCTATGTAACAAACCTGCACATTCTGCACATGGATCCCAGAACTTAAAGTATAATCATAAACAAACAAAGGAACAACAAAAAAAAAATAGGCCAATGAGGACTGAAAGAGTAAGTACATGCTAGCACATAGATGCCTTTGGTATTCTCAGGAAACTGCAGCCGTGATGAGTCAATGAATTCATCCAAGACTCATAGCTAATTAAGAGACAGAACTGGGATGCAAACTAAAACTTTGGCCCTTCACCACTACATTTTACTGGTTAGATCAATTATACTCTCTCCACATGATGGAGTACTGTTTAATCATAAGGATAAATTACATCTTTACATATGTAAATGGGAAGCTGTCTGTGAAATATTCCATACTATACATGGAACAGCATGTATAGTATTATCCAGATATTATAAATATATATTCACATCTGTTTTTGTTGGCATAAAGGAAATCTGAAAGTTGTAAAACAGTTCAAACTGGTTATCTTCTGAGATCTCTCACTTTCTCCGTATTGTTGTATTCTCTGTAACACTTAGAAAAAAAGATCATTGTTAAAACTTTTGGGCAAGGCAAATGACAGGATCAGAGCTGTGCTTCAAAAAGATTAAGTCACAGGTAAGACGACAGGAATATTATCATCTTGGAAACCACTGAAAGCATTTATTCTGGCTTTCACTTTCTATTGTGTTGAAATGACCTGTTCAAAGTCTTTACTGAAATCACCCCTAAACATCTCTGGATCTTTCTAAACAGTATCAGCCAAGTGGAAAATGTGGTTTATCTAATCCAAGTGTGAAATTTTTGTGAATTTCTCACAACCTTGGCTGTTTATCAGACCATGTGCAGAGCTCTTAAAAACAAATGCCTGGACCCTATCCCAAAAGTAGGTATCACCTGTAATTTTTTTAAATGTTAAAAGGTAATTCTGACACACGGTCAGGATTGAAAAGTAAAAACTTCAGTGTGTTGGAGTATTTGTAAAATTCAAATGGTCACCTTCATGGCAAGGAGAGGCTGTGAAGTTCGTCTTCTGAGGTGGTCCTTAGAGAGTTCTCCGTGCATAGCATAGCAAATATTGGTTGAGTGAAGGGCAGAATGAATGAGGAGAGCCCACAGGTTGGCATTTCTGTGATGTACTCACCAGGATTGAGAGTCTGAGCCTGATCCCC